GGGGGGGGGGGGGGGACTGGGATCTGGGATCATCTCCAGCCTTGCTAGAGGAGGGGAAGCTTGCAGCTTGGCTGCTGAGTGGTACCAGTTGGCAAGAGCAAGCCTGCAAAGGCAGATCCTTTCTTTAACACAAGGTGTCTGTGGCTTGGGTTGCACAGGGTGAATGGTTATTCTTAGCCCAGCCTAGAGTCACTGGAAAAAAAAAAAAAAAAAAAAAGCAGGGACATCACTTGAACTTTTCTCTATTAAATGAAAATACAATACAACACAAATAATAGCAGAAATTTCAGCCACCTTCAATTTTACATTATATGCAATATAAGGAAAAATGAAAAGAAATGTCAATATTTGCCTAGAGGTAATACCTTCACAAACCAAATTTCACTCTTATCTGTTGAAGTTTATCTACTTCTGGTTTTAACTCTCATTTTATAGAGCCTTGTTAATGGATCCTATCTTCAAGTACTTGTACATGACATTTTTGAGTGATTTTCTGCTACATTTCATGGTGTAGGACTGGCTTTCTCAGGTGGTTCAAACTTTTTAAAAGTTAACTAAAAAAAAAAAAAAAAAAAACCCTGGGAAGAGAATGATACTCCTTGTTTCTTCCTGAAGTAACTTTGTAATTATCAGTTTAAGAGGGCAGGACAGCAAAAATAAATTTGAGAGAGAAACAGACAGAGAATATGAATTCAGGCTTCATAAATTTCCTGGGATCTCCCACCCCTGGTGCTGGAAGGGCTATAGCTCTAACCAAATTCAACCTACCCTCTCCCAAGTCACAGTTTGGTATTATTTATTATTCACAGAATAACCAAAAACTCTTCTGTCTTTCTGGTATCAACTCCAAGACCTTTGAAACAGTGATGGATGTCTTTTGATTCCTTAGACCATTTGAACGCAGCAGAACAATGGTCAAGTAAGTTGTGAAGCTGGGTTGAGAGAGCCCACTGGTTAAAACAGATGGTCAGTTACAATTCAACCCAAGCCATGTTTAGGTGAAAGAAAAATATATCATACTTTTTATAAGGCCCTAAGGAGGTTGAATGTTGGAAGGAAGATGGGGACAGTTTGGATTCTAGACCTGCAGGTCAAGAACTAGGAGTTTCAGCAATAAGACATTGCTGGTAAAAACCCAGGAAGAAGGGAGACAGTGCAGAGAGAGGAAGGGGACAGGAGTCAAACTGATTTCCATTTTGCCCCCAGGGACTCTCATTAGAAATTAGGATTCTTTTTTTTTTTTTTTTTTTTTTTTTAGTAGTGGTTGGACACAATACCTTTATTTTATTTATTTTTATGTGGTGCTGAGGATCGAACCCAGGGCCTCGCAAGTGCTAGGCAAGTGCTCTACCGCTGAGCCATTACCCCAGCCCCAGGATTCTTTATTCATTTTCCCCTGTGAAGTATATAAAAGAAGAGGAAATAGATTCAGTACATCATTTTAAAAAGCACTGAGCTCCTATTCTGTGCCTACCACTGTCTTGATGTTCAAAAGAAACATCAACCTTGGTTCTAGCCATAGAGAAAGAGGAATGTAACATTCTCTTTGGGGGGAAGCAAAAATTTGTATGCATGAGAGAATAGGAAAACAATGTGGGTAGCTTTGGATTCTAATAAGTCCTCCAGGTGAGGAACATCCACATACTGTTGCATGATAGCGAAGAGGCCAAGGACTCCTCTTAACATGCTTCTATCAGGTCGCTCAGACCGTTGCCTTTGACATTCAGCCCTAGGTCTCCTTGGCATTCAAGGTCCTGCCCAATCATTGAAAGTGTACATATCTTCAATGTCTGCAGGCAATCTACCCCCTCCACTCTGTTCATAAGTGCTTCCAAATCATCCCTCTTCTTCTTTCTTCCCAGAATGTCAGTCCTAAAACACATTTGATGCCTTATGTCTATCCACTGTTCTTTATTTGGCCCAGAAGTTAAAGAACAGCAGGATGTGAGCTAAACTTGAGCCTTTTGGATCTGATAAGTTAAGCAGTTAGTTGCTTTCAAATCTTGGCATTCCCATGTAGAAGAGATGTTATATGTATGTGCATAGGGTAGGGGGTCTGATTTTTTTCCTTTTTGTACTGAAGCTAGAACCAGGGGTGCTTAACCACTGAGCCACATCCCCAGCCCTTTTTATTTTTCATTTTGAGACAGGGTCTCCCTAAGTTGCCAAAGGTCTTACTGAGTTGCTGAGTGCTGAGGCTGACCTCAAACTTGTAATCCTCCTGCCTCAGCCTCCTGAATCACTAGGATCATGTGTCATCATGCCTGGCTGATTTTCCCTTTTGGTTCTCACTAAAGTTTTATTCAGAGAAGAAGGAAATAAAATTTTAGCTAAAGAAACATTGATGCTGGTTGTGGTGGTACATGCCGGTAATCTCAGTGGCTTAGGAGGCTGAGGTAGGAGGATTGTGAGTTCAAGACCAGCCGCAGCAACTTAACAAGGGCCTGAGCAACTTAGTGACACCCTGTCTCAAAATTTAAAAAAATTTAAAAAGGAAGGTTGGGGGATGTGGCTCAGTGGTTAAGCACCCCTGGGTTCCATTCCTGGTACAAAAAAGAAAAAAGAAAGGGAGAAAGAAAAAGAAACATTGATGGTCTTTTTCCTAAACTCTGTCAATGTGACATGAAAATCTTTACTTTTTCTTTTAAAAGAAATTGAATTGAAAAATGATGTAACATTACTTTTTCCAGGTGAGACTACTTGGAGTTTTCTAGAATTCGATGTACTCACAAAAGAAATGGTTCTATTCAGTAGAAAAATAATGTGAGTCACGTGTATAACTCAAAATTTTCTAGTAGATATGTTTAAAAAATAAAAACAAATACATAAAATGAGTTTTTATATTTTAATTAACCCAGTATACCCCAAATATTATCTTTGCAACGTATCATCTGTTAAAATTAATGAGATATTTTATATTTATTTTGGAA